TATATATATATATATTCAAAATTTTGAAGAAAACTGACAACATACATATATATTATCAATGTATCTTACAAAAGCTATCTTTTAATATCTAGAATTATTGTTTATTTATCTAGGTCAAGATTTTGGTGAACGTGACATTAGATACGAAAAATGTCACGCTTCACGCCCTGGATATGAAGATCGATGAGGGTTTTACAAATCTCAGGGAGTATTCGGCCAACAGCAACAAGACTAACAATAATATAATCAGGATCGTGGAGCAGAGGAACGACACCGACAGGCAATTTCACGTGATTAAAACGTCAGACACGTTGAGCAGGGGCAAACAATACGTGGTGCATCTCAAGTTCATTGGCTATTTGAACGATTACTTGGAAGGTTTCTACAGAAGCTCGTACATGGTCGGCAATCAGACGAGGTAAATGGCACCGCGATGGAATTTTTATGGCCAATATATAAATTTAGGGCGCTATTCTATACACGATTACTGATAGCAGTAGGCTCTGGCTCTGTAAGTATCGTTGAGCATGTTTTTTGATATGTCACTATTACTTTTAAAATTTAAATTTAGTTAAAAGGTAAGGCTGTATTGTAAGCGAATGTAAACGTCGGTGGAGATACAAAATTTGAATTACTTTTTTTAAGTTTGCAAAACTTGTGTTGAATCTTTCAATTTTTAACGTTATCATAATCGTGGTTATCGTCGCGAAATATTTTTGTTAGAATGTAAAGGGAGTGATTATCCTTTGAATAGCCTCGCGTTGCGGTCGCGTGTTTGATTTACGTACGTGGGCTCAAACAAGAGCTACTGTCGGCTGTTTGCCAAAGGTATCTCTGTTCTGCATTATAGATGGATCGCCACGACTCAGTTCCAAGCGACGGATGCGCGCCGTGCTTTTCCATGCTTCGACGAACCAGCTTTGAAAGCCAAGTTCCAGATTAACATAGCGCGTCCCAAAAACATGACATCTATTTCGAATATGCCCATGAAAGGGGCACCGATGCCAGTGTGAGTAATTGTGTGAATATCATATTTCCGCTTTATATATGGCATTACATTCGTATAGATCAAATCCGATTCAAATCCGTATCTTTCAGTATTATTTCCGCTTGCATGATCGCGCGTATGGATTCTCTTTTCCCATTTCGGATTTTTATACAGCGCAAAATGTTCAGAATATAAAAATTTGATGTAATAATTCGAAATAGTTTATTTGTTGAAGACTGTCCGATATATTTTGACAAAATTCACGAATTCAAAAATTTAACAATTAATAGAGTAATTTACAATATGTGCAGAATGAGAAATACATCAAGCGAAATAAATTAATTTTTTCTTATAAAGCATTGATTTTGAGAAATTGATTTAGAAAAATAATTTAGAATGAGAATTTTATAAGGGATACTTTTATTATTTAACATTCAGGCCCGGTTTACACACGTATGAGTGGGATCATTACGAGCGTTCAGTACCGATGTCTACATATCTGGTCGCCTTCATAGTTTCCGATTTCGATGTACGGAAATCGGAAGATGGTAACTTTGGAGTTTGGGCGCGGCACGATGCTATTAATCAATCGCAGTATAGCTTGAGCATTGGACCGAAAATACTCAAATACTACGAGGAGTATTTCCAGATCAAGTTTCCTTTGCCAAAAATGGATATGGTTGCGCTACCCGACTTCTCCGCCGGTGCTATGGAAAATTGGGGCTTGATAACTTATAGGTAAGGATATCGGATTCATACTGAATTGATAAAGTTTATAATTATCTGAAACGCGATATTATCTTCCCTTTTTCTATTTGTCTATTTTGTATTATTGTTGTATGAAAAGTAAAAGAAACCATCAATTTTATTGTCTTATAAATATTACCAAAAGAATGTCGATTTATAAAAATTATAGGAGAACATTTAGTAATAAATATTTAAACTCTCTCTCTTTCTGTATATTTTTTATTTACATTTTCTATTTAATTATTTATATCATCAGAAAGAGATAAAAATAACTTAATTATCACTTTATATATATATCATATATATTATATTACAATCAGATTTTTTAAATTATACTACTCGAGAATATGAATGACGGATAAATATGTAGGTAAACATTTTTATAATTTTGTTTGACGAACAAAGATCATTTATGCATGTATATAAATACATTTTTTATAATGAAAAGTATATCAACGATTATCCAAATTTTTGAGTGGCTAATAATTAGCATTTAATAAGATAATTGTTTCTTCACATGCAAATATTATCGTAACGCAACAGCATTATTCTCTTATGATTGATTCAAATAATAAAACAATTTTCATTTTATATATGTTATATATATGTTATGCTAATATTTGCAAGAGACGGAAGAGAGTTAATTTGTCATTTTGCCAATTTAGAGAGACAGCAATGTTATACCAGGAAGGCATATCGACCAGTAGTAATAAGCAGCGGGTAGCCACCGTGGTATCTCACGAGCTCGCGCATCAGTGGTTTGGAAACTTAGTGACACCAAGTTGGTGGACAGATCTTTGGTTGAACGAAGGTTTCGCCAGTTACGTCGAATACATCGGCATGGATGCGGTAAGAGACGTTTTTAAACAATGCTAAATTACATATTACATTAGCCGAATTATAACTCTATCAAAATACTGATTTAAGAAAATCCAATTAAATATTTTAAACATGTTTAAAAGTTATATCATGTTATTATAATGTATATACAGGTTGCTCTAAAAAGGTACGGCCAAAATTTAGGGAGATATTCCTCACACCTAAAGGATAAAAAAATGTTATATAAACATGGGTGCGGAAACGCTTTTTTGAGGAGTTAGAGCTTCTTTTCCGAGTATGCGACGTTACGGCTAAATGAGGTAGTAATCTTATCTGCCAGGCAGAAATCAGAAAAATATTGACCTTTAATGTTATGATTACTTGTTTACACCTAGACAATAGTAGTCCGCTATACGCCAGGCATATTTGAACGTGTCCATGAATCAATGCGTCGACGTGTCAGTGCTTGTATTCGGGCGAATGGTGGACATTTTCAACAGTTGTTGTAACCGTACTCAAGGTCGCTTTAAAAACAGATATAAATAAACCTACTGATTAAACGATTGTCGTCCACAATGTTTAATCCTAAATTGTTTCTTGTGTAAGTAATACAATCAACAGTATTTTCAACATAACTCCTGAAAAAAGCGTTTCCGCACCCATGTTCATATAACATTTTTTCATCCTTTAGGTGTGAGAGATATCTCCCTAAATTTTGGCCGTACCTTTTTAGAGCACCCTGTATAATATAAATTTTTTGTTCTTGAAACATTCTCAGGTAGAACCATCGTGGAAAGTCCTCGAACAATTCGTCGTCCACGATCTTCAAAATGTGTTTGGTCTGGACGCTCTGGAATCTTCTCATCCTATATCCATCGAAGTTGGCCATCCTGACGAAATCAGTGAAATTTTTGATAGGATTTCTTATGGAAAAGGTTATTGACGATTTACATACACTGAAATAATTCTCTAAAAAAGAATGAAGAATTAGTGTACCATATTTATCGAAATTTTTTCAGGTGCTTCCATAATAAGAATGATGGACCATTTCCTTACAACAAAAGTCTTCAAGCAGGGTCTAACTAATTATTTGAATGGAAAGTGAGTAAAAATTAATTAATGTTTCCATGTTTTATAATTTCTTGCATATAAAGTGACTTAAAAAATATATAATGATTAATATTTTCTCTCTTTTTTTTTTGATATCATAAATGTAAATATAAATATAAATATAAATAAAATTTTGCTAACGATGTCTTGCAACTGAGTATTTTTGTATATTTAATAGAGCTTATCAAAGTGCTGAGCAAAACGATTTGTGGTATGCTTTAACCCAGCAAGCTCACAAAGACAAGGTACTTGAACCAAGCGTAACCGTTAAAGAGATTATGGATACTTGGACTCTGCAAACCGGCTTTCCTGTAATTACTGTGAGGCGCAACTACAACAACAATAGTGCAACGCTGACACAGGTTTTTACAGATTGAACAATAATTGTATAAAATACATTAATAAGTAGATAACAAACACTTCTTAAAACGACGTGTTTGATTTATACATATAATCATTTTCTATTTGAAAGAGAGATATGTTATATATATATAAATATATATA